CCAAGGGGCTGGGCCTGGTAAGCGGTGGCGTGAAGGTGGTCGAAGACAACCTCCTCGAGCTGCTTGTCAACCTCCTCCTGCTCGCGCAGGATCACATCACGCTCACGCTCAATGGCACCAGCCTCGAGCTTGGAGTTCTGAAGAATATCGGCGAGGATGTCGACGGCCTTGGGGACATCGTTGTTGAAGGCCTTAGCGTAGTAGACGGTGTTTTCCCTCTGTAGTTGCGATCAGTATTTGGATTGGTAGACGTTGATGGGTGCTTTCCCGGGTCGTACCGAAGTGTAGGCGTTAAGGTGAGCGCCCATGTTCTCGATCTCAAGCTCCAATTGGTGCTGGGAGCGCTTGTTGGTGCCCTAGTTATATTCATCAGACAAAAGCGCTTCGTAGTTTGGGGTTTGTGGGGTCGAACCTTGAAGGCAAGGTGCTCAAGGAAGTGTGCAGTTCCGTTGGTCTTGTCAGTCTCTGCCCGGCTACCGGCATCGATCCACACGCCGACCGTCGAGGTTTGGGCCCATGGCGAGTGATCAGTGGCGATCTAGAAGGGAATTAGCTAAATTGCGATGTCATTGAGATGGGTTGCTTGGTCGTACAGTGAATCCGTTGGAGAGGGTGGTGGACTGGGTGGTAGACGGCAACGCAACCGGCGACGCAAAGCCACGCTTCACGGGCTGGATGGACTTCAGGGCCGCACGAGTGCGGAGAGCCTGGTTTAGGTTGAGAGCGAGGCGCCGAGAAGCCATTGAGAACGACTTGTATAGGTGGAGGGAGGGGGAAAGGGGGAGAGATGGAGAAAAGAGCTGATGGAGACACCCTGAGGTTGAGGTTCCGAAGTCTGAAATTGTTCGCCCAGCTCAGCCAATTACATAACCCGCTTTTCCAAACCGCCCTTGACATCCCGAATACTTCCTTACTCTGCATTAATTCGTGATGTGGGCTAGAATACAGTCTAATTTGGCTTGTATATTGTTTTTATCAATCGTTACGATGTCAAAATACGATTTGCTTGATGCTGAGGTATCCCGATACGCCTCGTTTTCCGATCTTTCAATTCCGGTCATCCAATTTCGCGTCTATTGATTGGCTACATACCTTGCGTCTCATACAAACCGGCTTGCAAACTGTCTAATGTTCTCCTCCATCGAAATATCCGCTGCAAAACCCAACTCGAAAGCACGAGCAGTATCAAATCGAGGAGTCCATGATTGCACAATCTTGTCGGTAGCAGCATCATACTGCTCCTCCACGAGATCCCGACGCTCCTTACCACCAACTTCCAGCAGTGCATCCAACATCTGCTGAATACTAACCTTCAACCCAGGAAGATTAACAGATCTTGATTCTCCAAATGCTTCTTTGGGTACACTGCGTGCATGAATCAAGTTCTTGATAACAGTGTGCGGCGAGCAAATCCACATCTCCGTTTCCTTTGCCACGGGCAGAATAGCCTTCTTACCGTGGAAGGGCTCACGGATTATATCACTAGCAAAGCTACTGGCAGCCTGGGTGGGCTTGCCAGCTCTCACTGTCACCGTGGGCAGACGCACACACCGGCCATCCAGGAATCCGCGCCGCGAGTAGTCATTCAGCAGTGTCTCAATGATGAGTTTCTGCGATCCGTATGAGGAAGATGGCATAGGTGGGAAGTTTGTCTCGTCAATGACGAATCCTGATGGCGCAGGGCCGTAGACTGCCAATGATGATGTGAAGACGACCTTCGCTCCGGGCATAGTCGCGCGTAGCCGGTCAAGAATGTATCGTGTTGCGTCGAGGTTGACGCGGATGCCCAGCTCGAAGTTGGCCTCGGAGCCGCCGGACATGATACCGTGTAGGATATAGACTGTCTCGTAGGGATTAGATGCGCTGATCAGCTCGTCGACCTCCTTGGGAGAGGTGAGATCGGCCTTGACACAGTTGAGGCGGCTTGCGTGCTGTGCAGCTGACTCTGGGATCTCGGGCTCAACGATATCAGTAATTGTCACGGTTGTCGTAGCTGGTGTGCTTTCGAGGAGGGAAGCCGCCAGTTCTTGGCCGACATAACCCCCCGCGCCGGTGATGAGAATTGACATGATGGGTATATGGTAATGCGGTTTGGGCAATTAAGTCAAATAATCAAATCAGCCTGGTATTTGGCAATAAGGCAGCGCAATGAAACAGGAGTATACCCAACTATGTAGAACGGAGAATGGATGTGTTACCATTATATAGTAACGCACCTTGCGGGGTTGAAGCGGATCTTGTGTCTCCCCCACGCTCGTTCAGTCATGAGAAGTTCCCCATTAGCCAATGGTGTTATTATATCCCACGAATGTCATCGCTTAATGCAAATCTCGCGCATCAATTCCGAGTCATTTTCTTGGTGCAAGCCTCGGTGGGAAATCCGATTACCGGGAGACCCGGCGCAAGTCCGAGAATAGGATTGGGACGGCGAGATGACCAAGGGAAATGTGTGAGATACCTTTTCGACTTTCAATCTTAAACAATAGTAATGACTAGCAAAATTTTGTTGCTTTGTTGGGGATACTCTGAGTCTGTGTAATGTGGTCTCTATATTAGTCGACAACGCTTAGAACCCTCCGAGACTAGAAGCTACATCTAAAACAATTGCTCATATGTTGCCGGCGAAATTTTAGCAAGACTAAGATCGCTTGTATTGGCCACTGGTTGCTACCTAGGTACGGATATCATACGCTAACCAGAGCTATCTCATCACCTCAGATCAAGACACTCAGTATGACACATTCCAGCGTGTAAAATTCATCGAAAAGGAAAACTAAATTTTAAGACGCAGCCAAAAGTACATAGGCGGAAATACCTGTCACAAGAAAGGTGGAAAACATTCGATACATCACAGAACACGAGACGCCGAGGGGAACATCAAAAGGGAATGGACATGACCAGAGACCAGAGATTAAGACCTTTATGCGGCAGTGCGCTTGTAGATACCAGCGACAATGCAGTGGTCACGCTCGAAGGGCTCGAGGGTCAGCTGCTCCTTGGGCTTAATCTTCTCCTCACGCATCTTCTGGACCTCCTTAGCGAACACAACCTCGGGCTTGGCTGTGCTGTCAATACAGTTGGCCTTGATGGAGACAATGACACCACCCTCAGCCTTGAGGAACATGTGGGCGTTCAATCCGACAATACGGGCCTGATCGGGCTGGGCAACATCGGCAAAGATGACATCAACCATGGGCACGAGCATACGGTAACGAAGAGGGTGACGGGCATCCTCAACGATGGGGATGACGTTGGTACGGTGGGTGGCCATGCCGATCAGATCACGGCCAGAGCGGTGAGAGAACTCGACGGCGTAGACGTTACCGGTAGGTCCGACAATATCAGCGACGTGAGAAACGGAGGTACCGGAGGCAGCACCGATGTAGAGAACCTTGGAGCCGGGCTTCATGTAGATATCATCAAGACCACCAAGCACACCAGCAGCCAACTAAAAAAGGGGAAAAGACGTCAGAAAAATATAACTAGACAAAAGGCAGTCATGGCTATCGGGGCGATATTGAAGAATTTCGAGAAAAATTCGATAAAACCGGCAACGATGACATGTATCTTTAGCCCAGGAAAAGGGGAATTTACCTTAGAACGGAAGGGGTTCCAGACACGGAACTCGTTCTTGGTAACGGTACCATCCTCAGCTGAGGGGCCCTCAACGGAGATGCGCTTCTCGCCGTAGACAGCGGTTCCAGGCGTAAGGTTTTTCGTCACAAGCATGTCCTCCTTACCGCCGCGAGCGACGAAGATACCGGCGTGACGGTGAGGCTCCTGTTCACAAGGAAAAACGAGTTCGTTAGTGGCTGAAACTCATGTCCATGATAATTTCTCAACACTTACAATGACAACCTTGGCACCACCACCAGCACCGCCGCCACCGCGGGGAGCACCACGGCCACCACGAGGAGCACCGCGACCACCACGGGGAGCACCACGGCCACCTCCACGACCGCCACGGTCGCCGAAGCCACCACGGCCACCTCCACGGCCGCCAAAGCCACCACGACCACCTCCACGGCCACCACGGTCGCCGAAACCACCTTTACCAAGTCAGCAAGGTGAACTGTAATATCGCAGCAAGTAATAGGGTCATGGCCATCGGTGCGATAGAATCACCGGCCAGACTTTGGGCCTGCATGCTTGCTGCTGTGGATGGACTGGATTGAACAAACCTCGACCACCGCCACGGCCACCGCCGCGGTCACCACCAAATCCACCACGTCCACGAGGAGCGAAAGAAGACATTGTATGTGTTTTGAGAAATAAGACTCGGTTGGAAAGGGAGTCAAAGGGGAGGGAGGTTAAGCTGTCGTTTCCGAGTGCTTAAACCGTGTAGTTGAAAATTGGAATAAAAGTTCCGAGAGAGTCGATAAAGATGGAGAAAAAATTGGCAACGTATCTGAGATAGTTGGATCAAGCAATTCAAACAGAATTGGCCGCTAACTATCTGTCGGATGCGGATCGATACCGTTGCTGCTCGTTGATGCGGTCGAGATTTTTTTTGCGCCTTTGGGATCTTTCAGAAAATCAGAACAGCGCTAGGCTGTCTTTGGTTTAGCGTATCCTCCGTGTGAGGACGTCACGTGAGGTTATTCCTCTGCGTATATGGCACGTGATCAGCTGAGCCCTGTATTGTTTGAGACGCAAACCTGCCTTTGAAACTGGACAAAATGATCGTTTTTTAGTTGGTGGTGGCATTTTAAGTGTCAGCCTGTGAGTGAAGCAATAGGTCCAACAAAAAGGTAAGTTCTTTTCTGCAAACTGGAAAGTTGTTTGCTTAAGCCCTGTAGTGGATGAGATGGCACACTATGATCGATGACGTTGAAGAATGACAATTGATTCATTTGGCTATACCAGCTCATAATCGGTCGCCGACTATGTAAAAATAGTAAAAATAGTAAAACGAAAGACATAGCCCGCCCGTAAATAGAAATCATATCATCCCCTTGAAGTCCCCCTTCTGTATATACAAATGTAACACAAACAATCAACTACTCTCCAAAGAAGAAGTAATTTGCAGCATATGGCATTTCAAATGCTGCTGGCATACCCTTGCAGGTTTTTGGTGGCGACCCAGCGGCAGTGTCGACTCGATAGACACTCTTGTAGTTGCCCACTGTGCCATCGATAGCAGTGAGGTAGAGCCAAGGCACAGCACCGTACTTTCCTGACACTGAACCTGAGGGTGCGTCAATTGCACCTCCCTTTTTGGTCATGACAATGCCATCCTGCTTTTCTGGTGTGGTGTTCAAGTTAAACTCTGGGGTTGTTGCATCATAGAAGAAATGATGACCCAGCAATTCGAGGTTGGCAGGAGGGAACGAGGCATATTCGTTGGTTGGTAGGGCAATTTTGTAGGCAATGTTAGGGAGTTTTTCCAGAAGATCGGGGAAGTTGGCTGCAATGCATGTGGCATTGTAGAGTCTTGCGACGGCTCCTATCGCCGCAGGTGTGGATTTGGAAGTAGAGTCCGCACATGTATAGTTCTAGTTGTATAATCAGCGATGGCAACTCGAGAAGGTATCTCAATAGCTTATCATACCTGGGTGCCCCGTCCAAGTGCAACGTATCTCGCCTTAAGGCCTGATGGGCTGGTCAACTCCGAAGCATAGGAGGGCAGAGCGATCTTAGAGACGTCGCAAGCCCCCGGTGCTCTGATGCTGTGTTTTGCGTTGATAATGTACTGGCTCACTTCCCCATAGAATTCGGCCAGTTCATCGGACCATTCGTATGCATTATCAAGGAAGTTTGTTGGGGCAGCAAGCGATATTGCTGCCAGGCAGATGATGAGAGGAGCAAAACGCATTGCTACTATGTGTTTATGCTAGTGGGCAGAGGAATTGCGGGGTGGTCAATGGCGGTGACGTTTTTCTGATCAATCAAGGATTGTCCAGCAAGCCTTTGATACAGGTCGGGTATGAAGATGCGGGGAGGGTAAGCGTATTGAAGAAAGGAATGGCAAGTGAGTGATTGACATGATAAATTGTCCGGGCCGAGGGGCAGGTATACATATACTCCATAGATGCGGTGGTAATTACAACTGTCCTTCAATTCAAGCATATATCAAAGATAGTAACACAGGTCCGACTCGAAACAATGCTGTGCTATTAACAGAGTGATCGATGCAACCTGCAGGTACTAGCAGGGATTAAAGCTCGACCACATGCTGTCATTGGTGGATGGACGCGCCCAGGGCTGACCCTCCCAGCCTCTACGGCTTCTGATTTGTCGTCGGCTGCAAACAAGTTTTGATTAAATCATGATAGCGACGCGCTAAGAAAAACAACGGGGTTTCCCTTGACCGTTCAGTTAAAGGAGCCTGAACGGAGCCAATGTGATGAGCTCTGTAAATTCCCCGGTGCTATTAATAAGTCTGACTGAAGAACAGTGCCATGTGTGTTGGGCGGTTGGATATGCGAAATTATTGCCGTTACAGGCTAGTGTGCAGAGACAATGATACTAGGTCATTTAATCCTAGGATTTGTGCAGAACTCGGGGAAATTGTTGCAGGCATTTGACTAGTAGACTACATTGGTCCCGGCACTTATCAAATAGAGCTTATTCATGTTTTCAATCATGCTATAGTCCTAATTGTGCAGTTAACTTATTTACAATCTGTCTTTGCAATGTTAAACTGCGGAGGCTGGCATAGCGGGGTTTAACTTTCCCTCCGTCTTATTTTTCGCTTCGGTTACAGTGCACTGGCGCGTAGATAACGCCATCTTACACAAAGTTGCTATGACCCGTTTAGTTATTATTGTAGCTACTAGCTTCTATTCATGTGACTGCTGACTGCTGTTTTTATCATCAATCGGCATTTTAGTCTGTACTTATTTGACCTAGTCAAGCCACAGATGAGATATATATACCTTCTAGACTATAGTTCCCCGACACTAATGCACCATATCGGAAACAAAACCCGAAGCAGTATCGATCTGACAGGTACGTATATACCCGATTGACCTATATGATTACCCAAAATAGAAATTGGTGAGGGTCAAGGGAATATCTTGATATCTCAAGCTTCGTGACTTGCAAACATCATACATCAGCCACCAAAACCAACCTTGGAAGTATTATCGCACATCTTCCCGTGTTCAATCCACGGCTCGGCCCTTATCCTTTTGGCTTTTTGCATATTTTTACTAGTGGCGTTGCTGCTCTATACATAGATGTGTATTTTTATATTCTTCCCAATTGACCAATCAATCCAATTGAGGTAAGGGTTATTCAGTTAGCAAGTTGTGGTGTTGGTAGGTTATTCGACTATGGAAAGCAACGACTTCCGAGCTTCAAGGGAGAATATCTTAGACATGTAGAGGCTTAGAGGTTCTATCCCACCCGAGAGGCTAAGCAGAGGCAAAAAAGTCTCTATCATAGCATAGGAAGGGAATACCCAGGGCTCCGGCTACTTCGGACACACGTTTATAAATAAAACTTCACTAAACCCATGATATCCTACCTTGGAAAGGTCCGAAATCTACGGTCACCTCACTAAATTTAGTCACAGACACATGATATTTGTTAGAAATCAAATTTACACACGATGCAGCTTGACCCACACCCCAGAATAGTACAGCATAGAGCATCACTCAAACCCGAACGCCAGGCAGGACTTATGATCAGCCATGAAGTGGAAAAGAATAAGAAATAAAAAAAGGGAACTCCGGAGCTCTTCGCTGTGTAAACATCAGACAAAACCATGTAACATTAGTTGAAACCTTCCTGCTGCCACTCATCACCGTGCAGCTGGCTCCCGCCACTCCCCGCCCCCCCTTTGCCCCCACTGCTACTACCGTATGCAGCAGCAGCAACGCTGCTGACGGCGCCCATAGCGCTATGCTTCTCTATCTCCGTTGTGCTCATCATATAGAGCACAGTGAAAAGCAGAAGGTGGAGTGCAAAGCAGTAGCCAGCGAACAGGTTCCGACTCGTCCGATTGGCAAGGATGACTCGAGTGAGAGAGAAGACAATTCGCTCTGGTAGGCTCATGCGTTTGTATGCACGTGTTGATTCACGGCCCCGAAACGCGGCAAATGGTGAGATTCGAGCCTCGTATGCATTCTGGTATCGGTCAAGTGACAAACCAGAAGGCGTGTCTGCAGAGGTATAGACAGAAGTTGAGCTGGGGGTGTTTGCAAGTGACGACGCAGATGTGGAGGCTCCCTGACCACGACTGTAGGTAGAGACATAGCGAGTCTTTTCGTAGAGACTCAGGTTGTCCTTTTGGAGCGATGCAACTTCCTGTCGGAGGGACTTGACAGTGGCATATAGCTTTGACAGCTCTTCTTCGAGTTCGGCATTCTTCTTTTTGAAACGGTCTCTTTGGGCCTGGATCATAGGTAGGAGGCCAGAACCGCCGCCAACAGCTTCTCCTGCACGGATGGATTCCATAGTGTTTGCAGACACGGCACTCTGGTCAAAGCCAGAGATGATTGATGAGGTGGGCGATGATGCGCCCCGACGGGTAGAGTGCGGGTATCTTGACGTGTAGGTTCCTGCAATAGACATCGCCGAGGATGGGAATGTATTTGCAGCCTCATCTTGTACGCGAAGGAGGTCATTTTCAAGAGTAGTTGATAGGGTTCGTGACTTTTCCAACTCTCCCTTTGAAGTGGAAAGCTCAGTTCGTAGTGCTTCGAGCTGCCCTTGGATATCGCGGTGCGACACTCGCAGAAGGGTGAGATCATCCGTCAATTTCTTGTTCCGGGCCATAAGGAGTTGCTCCAGAGAGTTCTTGTCTTTGGATTTGGCCCCCTCACCATTGGCATCAACTGGAGCACCGTCGCCAGCACCATCTCCCGCCTCATCATCATCACCAGCTGCAAGCTCAATCGACCTGATCATCTCCAGCTCTCGGCGGATCTCATCATAGTCAGCTACCTTCGCTAACCGCACACGCAACTCTTCCTTTTCTGCCGCCGCCTTTGAAGCTGTTCGCTCCGATTGAAGCAGTTTAGCTTCCCAAGTGTGGCGTTCCGAGTCTTTGTCAAATCGTGCAGCGTCTAGTTTCCGAAGCAAGGAAGAGTTCTCCGACTGGAGTCGTAGATAATCGGGGTCGTCCTCAACAGAAATTGGACCAGATGCATGTGATGCAGCTTGAGCCAGCTCCAACCGCATTTGTTCATTGCGTGCTTCCACATCGGCCAATCTCAAGCTTGTTTTCTCCAAATCGGCAGAAACGAGCTCGAGTTCAGCTGCAGTAGCACCACTCCGCGAACCCTCACTATCATCACCCTGATTCTCACCCTCACCTAGGCGCTGGGAGACTTCATAGCTTGCTTTGAGCTCCTTGATCAATCGATCCTGGTTTTCCACTTTCTCTTCCAAAGTCTTCTCCTTTGCCGCCCAGTTGTTTGTCTTTTCTGCCAAGACAGCTTCCCACGATGCTTCGATCTCCTTAGCTCTTGATTCTTGGTTCTCCTCTAGTTTCTTCCGCGCAGCACGTTCCTCCTGCAGGCGTTTCTCGGTCTCCTCTTGTTGCCTGGTGAGACGATCCACAGACCTCTGCAATTGGTCCCGTTCTGAGGTCAGTTTGGGAACTGTATCTTCGGACAGGACAAGGGAGTCGACGGAAGCTTCCAGGAGCGGGTAGGGGTCCGGAGCCTCGGATAATGAAGAGTATAGTTGTAAGAATGAGGACGATGACGTCTTGCCTTGGTTGGTCAAGAGATCGATAAAGGACTGATAAGATTTCAGTAATGTTTTATATTCTGAGAGCTTAGATTCATCATCTAGCTTCTTGTAGTTTTTTGTCTTTTGCGCCAGGTCCTTTCTTTGCACGAGTGCATCGCGCTGTTGTTCAACGAGATCGGTAGCGGTTGTGTCGAGTTTCGCAAGCGTGTTGGTCAAATCAATCCCTATTATACGTCAGTAAAGACTCCGTGACATGTAAGATAATAATTACCTCTCCAGGCTGAAATGGCACGTTGAAACTTGTTGGTCTCTTCGGTCAATTTGCTAGATATGGGTGATTCAGGTGGGCTGTCATGTTGGTCCTGAGAAACCAAGCCCTCTGTAATGGCAAATGAATCCATTGTCAGTCCTAGCCCCAAGGGTCTGCACTGTCACCCCACATCAAATAACAGTCCACCAAGGGGAAAGACGGAGATCTGTTATCGCTAGGAACAGGACACGCGGCGCACGGTCCGATATTATTCCGACTGTATGTGTACAACGTACGATCTGGGTTTGAGGTTGTTGGATACAAATTTATGACAAATGTGAATGTAAAAAGCAAGAGAGAATTCAGTGACCTCAGACATGCATGCTGTATAACAAGCGTGTTGTTTCAAGATGACAGCAATCGACCCGAGGCACCCGTTTACAATAGTGCAATATATGGCAGGAGATAACGGCCACCTTTAAATCAGGGTGACCGCCTTACTGACCGCCTCAATGTCCTAGTTTAGCGTCACAATGAAAGCTTCAAATTGTAAATAAGATACTCAAGAAGAGAAAAAAGCAAAATGTGAACCCAAAAAAAGTTTATTTTGGGTAAATCAGCTTTGATACTAACGTGTATAGTCAGAACTACACCTCACTAGGCATCAGTAGATCGCACCAGATTCTGCCAGACAAATATCACCAATATGGCCGTTACCCTTTGCTGTCAAGTGTAGCCCCCTGAGCTTTGGCCCCAGCCACTGACCGCCCTCACATCGTCACTCTCCAAGCTTGCGGGGAGATGCCTAGAACTACAGCCTCATGATGGCTTCAGACGATGGAATTGGTCCCCGAAAGAGGCGCAAGGTCAGTCCACCAGGGACAGTGCCTTATTTGTTACATTCCCTCTTCGAGGATGTG